GTTGTACATCACATCAACGGAACTTCCCTCGTCGACCAGGGCGTGATGAACATCAAAGTTAGCCATTCTCGCCCTGATCAGAAGAGGGATGGCTGTATTAGGGGCCCCTCTGGGCAATTCCTCGAGATAAAAGGTGATTGGCTCTGATCTGCCCTTAACCCTCTCGAAGGTCACCGTTTGCAGGGGAAGCTTTCCCACCTGATGTGCATGGACAGAGGCTCTTCCATATGTTCGGGGATGTATAAGTCCTTCGGTCTCATAACGGAGAATGAGGACTGGATGGGAACCGACTCATCAAATGGTCGGGAATCCTCCTCTATCTCCCTTGTTTCACGGGTATCTCGATGGGGGGCATCGTCGCGCCGATATTTCCCGGGTCTTCCCCCTTTCATGAGGGTCTCAATAGCATCCTTGAGATGGACACAATCTTCAGTCAAGTGTCCATGGCTCCGATGATATTGGCAGTATTTACTCCAATCTTCCACGGGCTTAGCAGAAGCGGGGCGAGGACGCTTGACGCCACCGTCCTTGAAATCCGTGTTCGTATACTCCGCCAAAATGCGCTCGCGGGAAGTCGTTAGCAGAGTGTACTCAATAAACCGCCCCGAGGGTCCTCTTTGCTCACGAGGGTCTCGGGGTTTGTCATCTCTCCTCTTCTCGCCAGTTCGTCGAGGAGGGTCGGAGTCTTGTTATCGCGGATTGCTGGTTGATCCACGATTCCTGGAGTCCTAGGCTCTATTGGCCGCTTCCCTCTCCTTATAGTTCATGTATACTCTGGCTTTCTCGAGGAGGGCATCGAATGTCCGGAGTGGTTCGATGCCAACGGCCTTTCTGAATTTTGTGCCCGGGAGGAGTCCTCTCTCGAGCAGGTATATCTTTATGTGATCGGTGCGAGAGACCTGGATGGCCTCCCGGTTGAACTGATCAATAAATTCCCCCAATGTCTCATCGTGTCTCTGGACGATAGCCTTGAGGGCTGCTTCAATCTTTGGGTGCCGACGTGAAGCAGTAAACGAACTGATGAATTGGTTCTTTAAATTTCTCCAGGAGGTGATTGACCCCGGGGCGAGACTCTTGTACCAGTCCATTGCATCTTTTCTTAAAGTCGTGGGGAACAACCGACATTTGATTGGTCCCCCGACATTGTGATAATGCAACATTGCTTCGAACCCGTCTATATGGTCGACCGGGTCGGCAATACCGTCGTACTCCTTCAGATGGGGAGGTTTCTCCATGCCGGGGGGAATGAGTGCCTCCATGATGGCTTGTGACAAGGGACAGCGGGGTCGTCTTCGTCATTCATGTCCGACGAGTGAGAAGGATATGTGTTATAGTAGTGGTTATGATGGCGGCCCTGGTCGCGCGGAGCGTTCCTCGGGCGGTATGATCGCTTGTTATTTCCCCCGCTCCTGTCTCCAGGGGGTCTTTGCTCTTGACGCGGGGGGATGTGATCGCTTCTCCCCGTATCAACGGGCTAGTCCCTCTCCAATGCGGGGCGTCGCCCTATTGGTCGGAGAGAGGGACTTCGAGAGGTGTCCCAGCTACGTGTCCGCGGAGGAGATTGGGGACGTTCCTCTACTTGACGAGGAGGAGGAGAATGGGGCCTCCTATGTCTTCTGGGGGCTCTTCGAGCGCCCCCAATCTTTCTCCTTGAGAGAAGATCATAATTTCTTTGGTTTATTATCGCAAACAGTGCCCTGGTCGTGGCATATGCTCCTGCGGGAACCTCCTAGAACTGGTTGGATTGGTAGTTCTAAGGAGGTGGTCGATTGTCTTCAAGTCGTCAAGATAGTGATGATGACGAGGCAGTTGCTCCGTCTCTATAGCCTGAAGGACCGGGCATATTAACGGTGGAGGCTGTGTTGTGGCCAACAATACTAGCATTGTCGAGGTCGGCATTATTGTCGACGACATTGTTGTTGACATCGATGATGCAGATGTTCATGTTGTTTTCTGCTGTTTGATCAGCCATGACAGTCGGAAGAGTGATTTAGTTTTAGTCTTAGTCTTGAGTAAACGGAAGACGGGGAAGCAAGTTTTCTATAGACGGCGTCACTGATCGTACCTGATCAGAATGAACCGTCACAGCTAACTCGAGCAGATCTTGAGTGAGATGCGGGGTACCTGCAAGACACTCTAATGCCAAAGTGAGTCAGAATGAGCAAGCAAGTATGAGAGTTAAAAATGTTCAGTACCTGACCCTCTCTGAAGAGAGAGTGTTTATAGCCCCCAGCGCTGGGCCAAGGTCCCCATTGTTGGACCACGTTGAGGCTCAATAACGAAAACTGCTAGCGCTTACGTGTGTATGGAGTCCAGCAAGTGGACTCTCCCCCTGGTCAATTGTTCCGTGAGAATAAGGATTGGACCCATGATTTCTGGAGGGCAGTTAAGATGACTTTGACATGAGGACGTAGGCCATGTTCCCCAACGGATATGTGGGGAGTTGCCCAACAGTCTCTAACTTGGGTTGTCTGTTTTTGGACTTTATGCAAAGGTACTGGTTTAGACCTCCTATCCGAGGGACAAGTGTAGGCCCAATCCAGATCAAATATAATTTTACATGTTTTGCCACATTTGAACCATGACTAAACTAAAATTCTTACCTAGAGTCTTTCAAAAGTTTAAGACAATTTTATTATTTAATCTCACATCAATGATGAATTAACTAAATATTTAATATATAAAAAATGTGATTCATATTCCTAACGGTTTAAAAATTTTCTTTTGAGATGTAGTATTCTAATTCTAGGTGGTCTCGTGTCTTTGATCTATTCTCACTCTCGACAATTGGGAAAGAAATGAAAATGAGTAGGGTGGTAAAATCCTAGTGTGATGAATCTTTGAATTGAAATCTTCAAGGACTCCTCATTGTTGTTTTGATAAAATGTGGATTTCACAATAACTAGTATTAAAGTCATAATTCGACTTTATAAGAGAACAATAGTAAAATTCTAGTATGTTCAATCCTAGTGTCGAAATCTCCTAATTAACATAGCATGATGATCCTTTAAACTCACTTATCTTTGCTTACCATTGTAAGTACATTAACAAACTACAAATATTTGTCTATTTTGTAGCGTACTATGTCTTGTTCAAACATGGCATGTTGGCCGGATCTTACTAGCTAAAAATAGGCATGAAATTTGTGTACTTGGGTTAGGAAATCATAGTTCCTTATTTGAAAAGTTATTACCTTATATGGTATTCTTCACTCTGCACTCTTCTTTTTAAACCATTCTTATTACTTGCCGAATACATATACCTATTTTGTTAGTAGCTTATAGGCCTTCAAGCTTTGATATACGTTGTGCACATAACAAAGACGCATGGCAAGTGCTAAGCTAAATGTTTAGGTTCAAAAGTTCTCTAGTTTTATTAATTTAGTGGATGAAAATGAACTTTATTTAGAAATTAAGCTAGCAATGATATGAGCGTGACATAAAAATACACTTAGTGAATTGTAGATTTGAAGCTAAGCAGTTGACCTGATCAAGTGATTTGAGAGTTCTTAGTTACCCATTGATGATAGTTTAGTGGTTGATTATTTGATGCTCAATATAGGTAGGACCATGTTTCTATCCAGTGCTGTTTTTTCAAAAGTAAATAATAAGCAAGATTGAGGTGTGATAAACCATCATCAGGTGTTTACACCACTAAACCCACTATAATGATAAAAAGAGTAAAGTTTATTTAGTTTCCTAATAACAACAAACACAATCTTATGATGGGATCTTAACACATCCTAAAAGACTGGTTATGAAAGTTTTAACAGAATATTGAATATTTTGAGATTTTAGCTAATAACATATATTTAATGTAAAACTAAACAAATTCAAAACATCGCTCTTAAAATAATATAAAATCAAAAATCAAAGAACAGTGCTTAATCAAAACAAATTTAAAAACATGTATTGTATAACCAGTATTTAAAACAGATATTTAAAACAATACTGGTTAAAAACAAGTATTGTTGTATAACCATTAAAAACATATATAATTAAAAATAATAATAGAGAGCAGAGAATATGAAATAGAATTTGAAGCAGATATTTAAAACAGAATTAGAAATATGATTGAATACTTTCTAGGGCAAAAACAGAATAGAGAAAAAATGCATAGAAAATAGAGAGCAGAAAAAGAAATAAATGAAAGGAAATGTTTGAATACTGGTTAGGGCAAAAATAGAATAAGGTAATGTTTGAAGAAGTAGAAGAATAATAGAAGAAGAATAGAGGGCAGAGAACAAACTTGAAGGAGTTGAGGTGGAGCGCAGTTAGGGCTAAACGAGAGAACAGAAGCGAAGGAGTTGAAGCGATGAGAAAGGAGAAACACGTCTGAACTTTGAATTGAAATATTATTCCAACTTTTAACTTTTTTAGGGGCAAAAACGTCATTTCGCACCATCCCGCGACCCACGATCTCAAACTGAGATACGAGCCACTTCTCCATAGCAGAGGGTTGCCGCGAGCAATTTCTGGGATAGCGCTATTACAGGGCGTGATTAATAACTCTGCTAACTTCAAATAGAATCAATTTGACTTGAGAACAACCAAACATATCAAAATCAATTCTAACCCTTCATAATCAATTCTAAGTACTCAAGTGTGAAACCAAACACTCACTAAAAAATACATTACGCAGAAATCTTAGTTTGGTTAAACCAGAATTGCAATTAATTGGTATCAAACAGCTAAGTAACTTTGACCCATTACTAGGAAACCTTGCTAAAATACATATTGCTTCCAAGATAAACCAATCTTACAATAAAGTTAGACAATAGGTTTTGTAAATAAACAGTGTGCAAGTAACAAAAAGAACAAAACATAACAAGTGATTCTATCAGGCAGAAATCTTACACACCTGAACTACTCTTCCATTGTTCAAGTTATCTACAATGTTCCTAAAACTTAATCAGCATTTCTTGCATAGAATACAATAATTCAAAAGTAAGCATAAAAAAAAAACCTTCCAGAAAATAATATTGGAGAGACGAGCAACGATTAAGAAGGAGGTGTAGGACGCAACGATGAGACTTGGAGCCTCTCCTTTCTAAGTTCCTTAACAATAGCAGCAAGTGCTTCAGGATTGACCCCAAGATCACATAGGGCAATGAGAATAGAAAGTGCGTGACGGTCTAAACCCGTGTCGAGTATATTGGACATGTGAAATGCCAGGTCCAAAGATTCTCTTGCACTTCTCGCAGCTTCTGGATCCATGCTTAAAGCTGCTGTGAATAGATATGCTTAATAAATCAGAATTGCAAAAGTGAAAACAACTAAATACAGGCCAAAGTTACCCTCTAAACCAAGATTTTAGGTATTGCAACACTAACGCGGTGTGAATTAACTACAATTTATTCTTTAATTTCGCGGTGTTTTTTAAAATCTTGTCCTAAACTACTTCTTGCTATTGTAACTCGTCAATAACTATTCTAACAAAAATACAAATTGAAACATAAAGAAACAAGAGGAACCTTGTTCGAAACGCAGAAGGATCAATTGACAAACCTGAACGTGCGAAGGTGAAGGATGTTTCGGCGTGGCGGAGGGACGTGCAGAAAAAGAACCTATGCGAACTGCGAAGAAGATCCGGGCCGGAAATGAAGGGTTCGCCGGACGGTTCAGTGAGAAGAAGAGACGAAATTTAGGTCGAAATCCGATAAATTTTCGAGGTTTCGGTTACAACCGGGATTTCAGTTAATAAATTTTAATCATTTAATTTGTCCATATTTTAATATTAAAATTTTGATTTAAATGTAATTTGGGTATTTGTAACTGATCTAACCTGATCAGACTTGGACCGTCACGGCTGGCTCCGAGCTGAAAGTTTTGAACGAGGTGGGGGTACCTGCAAGACACTCCGATACTGAAGTAATTAAGAGCACGAGCAGGCAATAGTAAGTGTGGGTAGAATGATCAATACCTGACCTTCTGGAAACAGAGGGTATTTATAGCCCCCAGCGCTGAGTCAAGGTTCCTTCATTGGGCCGGGCAGGTTTGGCCCAATGGAGGAACTGCCAGGTTCTACGTGCGTAGTGGGGACTCGCACATGGTCTCCTCCCTGGATGTTCTGCGTGAAGTGCGGGCGGACAGAGACGCAGTCTTTTCGGAGTCTCGTTGGGAGTGCAGTGGACTAAGTCTGCCCTAGTCGGGGTGCTCGAGGTGTTGTTGAGCTGGACAGTAGGATGTCGAGCTGGACGGTTGGATGTCGAGCAAGTAACCTCAGGGAGCACGTCGGGCACGACTGTGACCCTTTGGTCGGCGTGGCCCTCAGCAAGTCCGTTTGGATTGGGCCTTATCAATGCTATTGGGCCTGTCGGGCCCAGTCCAGAACAGGAGTCCCCCAAGTCGTGGTTCCTTGGTTAGGAGCCATGGCTTGATCAGCTCGTTTCCGTTTCGGGGTCTCGCGCCCGGGTCAGAGATGCAGGTCCTCGAGGGCCTCTCCGTGTCGTGCTCGGAGACAATCTTTCGTGGTGGATGCTCGGGGAATCCTCACCGGCGCGCATTTGTCGAGCGCACGGGGTATCTTTTGGGAACTGTGCCGCCACCCTATGATGATAGGGTCATCATTGCCTTGGGAGCCGTGCGTCGAGGAGAGGAACTCCGTGGTTGCCCGAGGTGACGTTTGGTATTCCACGTCATCACTATAAATAGGATCCTTGGGCCCCATAACGCGTTACTACTCTTTGCGCTCCAACTGCTGCTGTTCTTCCAGATTTTCATAACATAGCTGCGATTCCCGTCACAGATTCCTTCCCTCCGTTGCAGAACTCACTCCCTGATTGCAAGTAAGTGACTTATCTTCTTCGTTTTCCTGTTGTGATGCATGATTTTCACCGTTGTAGACGTTTTAGGGACTGTGCGCGTGGGACTAGCCCGGTATATTCATGTTTAGCTCGACAAATTCATGCTTAGGACCGGCAAACATATGCTCGTGGCCGGTAGATACATAGTTTAGGTTACAATCTGAAGTGCTGCCCGGGGTCTTCATGATCCAGGGCGCCTGATTCATGATCGTGGCCGGTATGTTCATGGCTCTGGCCGTAGGTTTTATGATGTTGCTCGCCATGTTCATACCTTGGGTAGGCATACTCGTGAATGACCGCGTTGTCGGTTTGCTTAGGCGGTTTGGAGAAGGTCTCATCGAGTTATCCGGACGTCGGGGAGGCGACTGCTATGTTGTTGCAAACTAACTTTTGTGGTCGTGCCTGGAGTGACGTGGTTTGTCGTACAGTACATCTGGTCCGTTACGTCGAGCGTATGGTTTCGTGCCCAATTGACTGGTTTCCCGTGCTCTGCAGGTAACCATGGCGGACGAGCCGTGCTCCTTTGGACGCCCCGAACTGGAGGAACAAAGTGCCGACGAGGCGGTGAGTTTGATCGACACTGTCGACGACCCTCTGTTGGATTGGGTGGGCGACGAGCCCAGAGGAATCGCGTCGATCTATAGCCGGCGTAACCGAAAACCATATGCAGTCCTCGAGGCGGGCCACGGTCAGCCTGATTTTCAAAAGAATTTTGTTGTTATGCGGCTGACCTCCAATGCCCAGATCTGCTCGGTGTACCCCGAGTATAGCTTCCCCATGTACGAAATTGCGTTCAAAGATCTTGGGCTGCAGTTGCCCTTCAGTGACTTTCAGATCGGGGTCTTCGCCAATCCGGGGCTGGCCCCGTCGCAGCTACACCCGAACTCGCTCGCCTTTATCTGGGCGTTTGAGCTGACATGTCGTTTTCTGAGGATTGGGGCGACTATACCGCTCTTCTTCAGAATTTTCCATCTGCAGCGCTAGTCCCGAGGAGGGAAGCACAGCTGGGTCTCCTTAAAACAGTCGAGGAGACTATTTAAGATGTATATGGACTCCGTAAGGGGTTTTAAAGACAAGTGGTATGTCGTGAGGCCGGTTACCACGTCTGCTTTAGAATCCCTGTACGAGGAGGAGGCGCCCATAAGTGATGATGACGGGGAGGCGGTTTTAGACAACGATGGGTATCCCGTGATGGCCCGCACGGCTAAGTTCCCCGTGCATTAGATGTTCAGGCATTATGAGCACGGGACTGGATACTATCATACCGCTGCGGGCGACATGTGTTCGGAGGACGAAAAGGCGTACGCCACTCTTTGTCGATTCGTCGACAGCTTCCACCCCGCCCGGTGGGCCACGAGGGAGGGGGAAGATGTCTTGGACGAGGAGGGTTATCCGACATTCGAGTCCCGGCCGATCGATACTAAGGCACTCGTGGAGTGCCAATCGTTCAGACAGGCTGCTTGTCTGCTAGGTCGTTTGTTGCTTAACTTTCTTTGCTTGTCATTTATTTATGAACTTGCTCGACACTAATCCGTCTTTTATTTTGTGCAGGTTCGATGGCCGGGCGACGGGAAAGACTCTTGAAGCTGTCTTGCGACCAGAAGCGGGGTAGGAGGGTCGTGAAGGCTCCCTAGGCAACGAGGATGGGCCCGCCGCATAGTCTGGGCGCTCCTCAAGTGGTGAGGATGGAGTCGTCGCCCAGCTCGGGGGCCGCGTCGGACAAGATCCCAGAGGTTCAAGAGGTCGAGCCACATGCCGACCTGATACAAAGAAAGAGGAACCGGGTGGAAAGCGGGTCGGCGGTCGGCGAGGACACCAGCGCCGTCAGGTCCTTCGGGTTCCCCCCTTGCTTCAAAGAGGAGGGTTTCTTCGAGAGATTCCCTCTGTCCGTGGTTGCCGACGAGGCTGAGACTATCAAGAGGATGAGTAAGGAGGATCGGAAGAGGCACCTGGCCGCCAGCATGGCGGGGCTGGTGAAAATGGCCGAAATGGCCCTGGTGATGTCCGAGGAAGGGGAGGATCCTGTCCGTATTGAAGAACTTGAGCAGGAGAAAGCGGCTCTCACCTCGAGCTCGCGGAAGTTAAGGACTGCCCTGGAACGCTCCGAGGAGATGTTCCGCGAGCAGGCATCGCTGCTGGCCGCTGAGAGAGAGAGATGCTGGTCCTAGAGAGAGAAAATTTGGGGAAGCTAGCCGAGGAGGGAGAGCTTCTCCGCGCGGACAGGGATCGTCTGGAGACCGACATCGGGCGCCTGACCCAACAGATCGAGGACATGAAAGTCGCCATGCTTCCTACCGAGGACGAGCCAGAGGATATAGCGGCTTTGAAGAGTCGATCAGAGCTGGTCGCCCATATCCAGCTACTCGAAGCAGATTGCGTCGGTGCTCTGGAGGAGGGGTTCGACTCCGCAGTCGGCCAGCTTTCCTTGTTAAACCCTGGTTTGGTCACTAAGGGGACGGGCTACACGCATCAGATCGTGGATGGCGCGATCGTGCCCCCGCCCGACTCTCCTGTTGTCGACAATGATGGTTCCGGGGAAGCCTGATTGTAGGATAGCGGGCCTGCGTGCCTTTGATATTTGTATTTTTTGGGCCTGCGTGCCCGTTGGTTGTACTTTATGAACATCGCCGGCTTCTTGGTCGGTTTATAATCATTTGCTTTGTTGCCTTCGGGCATTTTTTGAATGAATGCTGTTTTACATTTGATCGTTTGCCCGTGCTTGAAATCTTATATTTTTGCATAAAATTTAGCCTAAGTTATGGGCCCGAGGAGTGCCCGTAAGTGGCTGCGACTTAGCTGGCAATTTGCCCGCCTTTTGTTTGCATATGTGCCCGGCCTTCTCTCGATGGCCAGAATCACCTAAGTGTTGCACTCGAGGGGAGAGACTTCCTTTTGACCCTTTTAGATGGCCCGTCATTCTTGACGACTTGTCGGGCAGATGGAGCGGAGTTGCTCAGTCGGGCGCGAAGCCCGATAGGGACTATTTGCCCTTGGTGTGAACTGCCCATCGCGAGCTGGGTGTTCTGCCTTACAGGTACTACGACGGTGGAGCTCGGTGTAGTTGTCCACGTCGGGCACTATCGATTGGTCTCGTTTGCCGAGCGATGTTGTGCGATTTAGCCGTATGTCGGGCTTGTACCTCGGCCTCTATACGGAGTCAGACGTTTTTCCTCGTTGACCGAGCGCGGGTGCCGTTGGTCGGGGGTCCTAGGTGTTGGTAGTTTTTAATTGTAGTACTGCTTTAGCTTAGCAGCGTTCTAGGGTCGTGGTAATGGCTCTCCGTCTAATTGCTCGAGATAGTACGCCCTGGTACCAGTGGTGCCGTGGACGCGATAAGGTCCTTCCCAGTTCGCGGCCAGCTTCCCTTCGCGGGAATCCTTCTGGTTCCTACGTAATACCAGGTTGTCGATT